AAAGACTTGTATCACAATCATATGAAAGATGAAACAAAATTGCATTATTACTATTATTTTAATTAGAAAAAACAAACTCAATTCGTTGACCCTTCACTGTCCTCCAATGGCGGCCCCTACGCCGTTGGCCTTGCCTCTCTCTCTTTAATCATCTCTCTCTAGAAAAGCTCAAATAGCCCAGCAAGGAAAATAATCCAAAAAGAAACAAGATAAGAAGAAACCAAACTTGCAAAGAAACAAAAAGAAAAAAAGAAAAAAAAAAAAAAAAAGAAAGGAAGAAAATCCAATTAAAAAAAAAGAAGAAAAAATTCTCCTTTTTAACACCTCATTCCCTCTTTCTCCGGCACTCTCTGTATAACGAAAAAAGAGACCAAAGAAGAAAACTTTAGCTCTCCTTTTTGTGTTTTCTCTCTTTCTTTTTTGTTTTTCCGACAATGGAGGAAGAAAGTAGCAGCTGGTTCATTCCAAAGGTTCTTGTTTTGTCTGTAATCTTAAGTCTTGTAATAGTGAAGGGTATGTCTCTGTTATGGTGGAGACCAAGAAAGATTGAAGAACATTTCTCAAAACAAGGAATTCGAGGTCCTCCTTATCATTTCTTCATCGGAAATGTTAAAGAACTTGTTGGAATGATGCTTAAAGCTTCTTCTCATCCTATGCCTTTCTCTCACAATATTCTTCCTAGAGTTCTCTCTTTTTACCATCACTGGAGAAAAATCTATGGTTAGTTCTTGTTTTCTTTCTCTTTTTCTCAATTTGCTCTGTTTTTTTTTTTTTCAGATTCAGACACTTCTTATGGTTACTCTGCTTCTAATCAGTCAGATTTTGGTTAAACTATATGGAAAAGCTCTTTGGTTAAAAGTCGAAATATAAGACTTCTCTTTGGTCTCTTTTTATATTTTTGGGTTATTTTTTCTGGGTTTAATGAGAAAACGTGTCCAGATTTTGTTTTAGACTTGCTTCTTAATTATGTGATTTGGGTTTCTTAGTGAAAATTGTTTTTTTTTTTTTTGGAGTTGGAACCATTGTGATTTGGTCTGATTCTCTGTGAGATGCAACAGAGTGTGTTTTCATGTCAAGCAAAGCAAATTTTTTTGTTTTATTACACAAAGAAAAAAAAAGAGTTTATTTTATTTTATCTGTGTTTGTTTTGTCATGATCAAATTATGATGTCAGTACTTTGATGTGAAAAAGGAGGCTCTGTTTCTTCCCCACTCTTTCCTCACGGGCTTAGTCATCATTTTCCTCTCTGTTAACTCTTGTCTTCTTTCTTTAGTCTAATTACAAAAAAGAGAAAATTTTGGTTGCTGTGCAGTGAATTAAATAGCACCAATGTGGTAAATTATGAGAGAGCACTTAGTGCATTAATAGCAACAGCAGTGACCATACCCTCTTTTTTGTCAAAGTTCCCAAGTTGAGGATCTGTTCATGTTTTACAGCTTCTTTTGTCACCTAATTAAATTAAAACCTATTTTAATTTCAGGTGCTACATTTCTGGTCTGGTTCGGTCCAACTTTCCGGTTAACAGTAGCCGATCCCGATTTGATCCGAGAGATCTTCTCTAAGTCTGAGTTCTACGAGAAGAATGAAGCTCACCCTTTGGTTAAACAGCTTGAAGGCGATGGACTTCTTAGTCTCAAAGGCGAAAAATGGGCTCATCATCGAAAAATCATTAGCCCTACTTTTCATATGGAGAATCTTAAGTTGCTTGTACCAGTGGTGTTGAAGAGTGTGACTGATATGGTGGATAAATGGTCCGAGAAGTTATCGGAAAATGGTGAAGTTGAGGTTGATGTCTATGAGTGGTTTCAGATTTTGACTGAAGATGTTATTAGTAGAACAGCTTTTGGAAGTAGCTACGAAGATGGCCGCGCGATTTTTCGACTTCAAGCTCAACAAATGCTTCTTTGTGCTGAAGCTTTTCAAAAAGTTTTCATTCCTGGCTATAGGTAATAAATTTTTTTGATATTTTTTTCGACTTTTCGGGTTTTCGATTTTTCTTGTATTTGCCTTGTTAATTTTATCAATATTGATTTTCTTGATAGATTTTTTCCGACAAGAGGGAATTTGAAGTCTTGGAAGTTAGACAAGGAGATAAGGAAGTCATTGTTGAAGTTGATAGAGCGGCGGAGACAGAACGCTATAGAGGGAGACGGCGAAGAATGTAAGGAGCCGGCGGCGAAGGATTTATTGGGATTAATGATTCAGGCAAAGAATGTGACGGTTCAGGACATTGTGGAGGAGTGTAAAAGCTTTTTCTTCGCTGGGAAACAGACAACTTCTAATCTGCTGACGTGGACGACCATCTTGCTATCCATGCACCCGGAGTGGCAGGCCAAAGCACGTGATGAGGTCCTCAGGGTCTGTGGCTCACGTGATGTCCCTACCAAGGACCATGTCGTTAAGCTTAAAACGGTGCGCTTTCTCTTTCTGTCTTTGCTTTGTTTTCTTTCAATTTTGGAAATATATCATTAATTACAGATAAAAGGCGAATTGTTGATAGACAGTTTCCGTTACCGTTAATTATGGTCTTTTTGTCGCCTAATCTATAAATTTTATAAGGCTATAATTCTACATATATCAAGGCAAGTTTCAAGGGCAAAATGGTATATGTACAAAGAAGATATGTTGATGTTTGTTTTACCTCTTTCAAATTTGCAGTTGAGTATGATCTTGAACGAGTCGTTAAGGTTGTATCCACCAATAGTTGCTACAATTCGACGCGCTAAATCGGATGTGAAGCTAGGAGGGTACAAAATTCCATGTGGCACGGAGCTTCTAATACCAATCATAGCGGTTCATCATGACCAAGCCATTTGGGGTAATGACGTGAACGAATTCAATCCAGCTCGGTTTGCGGATGGAGTGCCGCGTGCTGCCAAACACCCCGTTGGCTTCATACCGTTTGGCCTCGGAGTTCGAACATGCATTGGTCAGAATCTTGCTATACTTCAGGCCAAATTGACACTGGCGGTAATGATCCAACGTTTCACCTTTCACTTGGCTCCTACTTACCAGCATGCACCAACCGTCCTAATGTTGCTTTATCCTCAACATGGTGCACCAATCACCTTCCGGAGATTGACCAATCATGAGGATCGCTAGAAGATCATCAAAGGTCTAAAATTTGTTCCGGACTTGGAAGAAAAATGTCTCAAGCTTTCAAAACTGACATGCTCTTTTTGTTGTCATTTTTTTAACTTTCATAAATATATAGTTTAACTTTCAAACCATTGGTTTTTTTTTTCATTCCATTTTTCTCTAAAATTTATTTTTATCAACTTCTTTTGGTTTTTCGGTTATGCAGCTACTTATGTTTTATAAGCTTGCTGTAGTGATGTTTGATTTTCTTTTTAAAATCTAGGAGTAGGAAAAGGATGTGTACATCAAAAAAAGCAGTAAAAGTATGTTAAAAATGTGCTTCAATTTGGTATTTTGTATGTATTGTAACATATAAGGTTGTAATTTCTACACAATTTCCCTATTATTGAACCGTCCTCCTCGACCTCTGCCTCTAAAATCTCCATTGTAATCACGGTTTTCTTGATATGACTGATTCTCTGTATTTGCATACATAAGCTTGCTCTGTTCTTCTTGACTATCTTCTTCTTCAAACACTCGTTCTTCATAAACTTTCAGTCGTCCAACAATGTCTTCGAAACCTGTGGTGTTAAGATCCAGTACTTGTTCTAGCGAGGCTATTATATGGATAAACCTTTTCCGGGGAAGACTTTTAAGGAACTTCATAACTAATTTCGGTTCCTCAATGATCACTCACAAGGCAGCTGATTTCGATGATATCTCAGACAAATTTCCGGCAAAATCATCAATTTTTTCTGAATCTTTCATCTTTAGCCAATCGAATTCAGCCATGAGGGTTTGTAGCCTAGCCTCCTTGACTCTCTCTGCTCCTACATGTCTCACCTTTATTGCATTCTACACCTTCTTTGCTGTGTCGTGTTCTCCGACTTGTAATATTAGTGTCTCATGGATTGATTGAAATAACAGAGCAGTAGCCATATCGCTCTTATCACGATCAATCAATTATGTTCCTGGTTCTATAACATCCCAAACCTTATGAACTTTGAGTGTTATCTTCATCTTCATGGATCAAACAGTGTAATTCGTGGAGTTCAGCATCGGGCGTTGAATCGAGGAAGATCCTCCACCATCCTCCACATCGAGCTCAGACATGTCTTTTGTACGTTTAGGAGAGGAGAACACTTTCTCTTCCTATTTGTTTTCGGACTTCCCTAAGCTCTGATACCAATTCTAGAATTTAAGAGGAAATCAAGAACACAAAATAAGAAATAACTCTTCTTTATTGCTTTAGAAATCTCTCAAACTAAAGCTTTCTCAAATCTCTTCTCTCAAAAACTCATAGGGTATACCACACCATTGGCAACTCCTTATATAACAAACCTCTTAACCTAATCCTAACTCGATTAGGTATTGTAAAGATAACTTCTAAACTTTATCTCTAGATTACTCCTAAAGATACCATATTATCTCTTTGATATATTAATTACTTGGGACTCAAGTAACCGTCAAGCTTAATCCAACAGAGCCTCTTTTTTCACATCAAAGTTTTGACATCATAATTTGATCATGACCAAACAAACACATACCAAAAATCTACTTTTTTTTATTGTATTCGTGTAACAAAACAAAATTCTTTGTATTTTGACAAAAAAAATAAAAATCTGGTGAAAGTGTTTTGATGTTTTTTTTTTTTCCTTTGGCAACAAATGTGTGTGAAAGTGAAAAATTTAAAAGAAAATTCATATAGAATTTACCCACAAACTGTATAAGAGAATTAGAAAGAAAAGATTTGAAATGATCTCGTAATTAATGATTATGTAAAAAGAAAATAAAATTTAATCGAAGAGTGGTTTGGTTAAAACGGTAGATTGGTTTAGTTAAATTGATGACACAATCAAACGGTCATGATGACTAAACCGTGGACGTGAAACGTGATTTAAATCTAGAAAAGTATCAATTTAAGAATTAGAGATCTTTCGACCGTTTGGTCTCGTAAAACCCAGAAATCACCACCGACTTAAGAGAAACCGAAGACTCTCTCTTCGACGCAACGGTCCGATTTCGTTTGTTGAAATTCAAAACAAGGCTTTTCTGGATTTCGTGTGTTCTCTCTCGAACGATCAATCTAGAAGATCGTCGATGAAGCAAAAGACGGAGGAGGACGAAGAGGAACTCGAAATTGAAGCCTAACATGTTGGTAAGTTACTTCATGTTCATAAAATTTCAAACTTAGGATCTTTTTCGGGAGATTGTTACTCTTTATATCGGGTTATTTCTTTGTTAGTTGTCTCTGATTGATCACTGGTACAATCGTTTGATATCTATTTGGAACTGATAATCTCATATCAATTCTCAGTATTCCTCTTCTTAATAATTGATTTTGACGAAAACCTGATCAGAGGCACTTTAGATAATTGATTTTGTTTTATGTTGATCTATTAGGCTCCTATCATGGCTTGGGATTCTGAGTTTTCTTATTGCAAAAATTGATGGATGATGATTTACTTTTGCAGATGGATAAAACTAATGGTTGCTTTCAAGGGAGTGATCCCAATCCATATATGATAAGGGCTCTACATATCTTTACCCTCTTAATTTGGCTCATCCTTGTTTTCTTTAGTAAACAGTTTAGAAGAACTTTTTAGATGATTGATTTTGCTTTAAGTATGTTATAACAAGTTTTATGTATGTTATCTTCAGCTATCAAATAACTTTATTAAGTGTAGAGAGAAAATCATGTCTCTATCTCAGGTCTATCTAGAGGTGTATTTCTAGTAAATTTTTCTGTAATTTGTTTTCTTTTCTGATGATCATCTGTTTTACAGGTTTATAGTAAATTTTTCTGTAATGAAGGTTCATTTCTTACCTGATTGTTCAGAATAAGGTTCTGTTAATTCAAAAGCCCTCTGTTATATACAAGTTTTTGGTTTTGGAATCCATATTTCCTTAACCTTACATGGAACTTGGTGTAGATACATTAACTGGCTATAGTCATTTTTGAATTTTTTCAATGTGCCTTTTTAATCAATCGCAATCATTAAGTTCTCTTCTGTTTAATCTGTTAAATAATCGCAGTGTAATAGTTGTTTGTGTTGCTTGGCTAAGACAGTGGCAGTGGCACCATTTCTGTTAAACTACAATGGAGCATGTTTTCGACAATATCCTGGTAAATTCTAAACTACGATTCTTCTGAGACTAAATTATGCTATGAAGGTCTTGCGTTAGACTAGTATAAGTGTAGATAGAAAATCACGTCCATTTCTGAAGTCTATCAAGAGGTGTATGTATAGCCAAATTTATCTGTGATTTTTTTTCTTCTGATTATCATCTCTTCTACATGTTACTTTGTTGTTCCAGGACCATGAAGATCTGCTTGAGAGTTAGTTCATTTCTTGCCTCATTGCTTGATAGAAGTTGTTGGCCATACGTTTTAACACCCAATACAAGACTACTTAGACACGCCCTTGAATTGGCCGGTGGAGTTCTTGAGGCTACCGAGAGAGATAATAGAGCTATGGCACGTGTGTAAGGTCTCTGTGACCCACATAAGTCACTTGTACTTAGAGGTAGAAGTTTTGTAGACTTGAGTACCTCAGAGAATCTTTTGCACAAAATTGCAACAATGGACACAATCTGGCCTTGATCTCCAGGTATATTTACATTGCAGACTTAAGTTCATTATGTTTTATGATCATTGTATACTTTCAAAATTTTTGGTTTGCAGTTTTTCGCAGATTTCACTCAAACTTCTCGAATCAAGTAACTATATAACCAGACATCAAGCTATTTAGGTAGGGTAACAGTCGGGAAATTTTATAATGCTAAGATCTCATTTCTAAGGACATGGAATCCATCCCTTGAGGGAAAGTATATTCCCCTGAATATCGCCAAAAGATCTATCTTGCCTTTATGTATTTCTTTATAGTAGATACATCGACTTATAATACTCATTTGCTCTTCTAGATTTAACTCAGATGGAATTTACGAACACCTTGACTCAGTTGATAGGATCATGGGAATGGCTTTCAAAGCATTATAAAATCTCTCAAGGAAGCCGAAGCTCTGGTTGGAGTTTACAGAGACGTCGAGACGAGGTGATGATTTCCACATCAATCTTTTTAACATGTTATCTTTTTTCACTCGAGACCTGTTTTAATAGTAATAAGGAGCAATAAAACTGACAGCATTTTTAGGAAGCTAAAGGACCGCTTGAAGCCTACACGACTCGTATCTGCCTACCTAATCTTTGCAAACAAGAGGAGCATTTTGGAGGTACGTACAATAAAGCTATTATTATCGTCTCTTTTGTTATTTGAATTCTTGAAGCTAAGTTGTGCGGATGAATTGTGAGTAGAGGTTGCAAAGATGAACAAAGAAGAGTGGAAGAACTTGCGTGCGGAAGGAAGGCTCCCTTAGAAAAGGTCTTGTCCCATATCAATTGTGTGAAGCAATGAAAAGTTCAAAAAACAGAATTTCTAACTTGTTTTCATATTATTGAACAAGGAGATATATATGCGGAAGGATATAAAAGGCTGAAGGCAGAAGAAGCCATGAGCCAGAAGAAGAGGATAAAGAAGCTCTCCAAGTTCTCAAGAAAGAGAACATTGTTGCTTGCTCTGCTGATAATTCTCAGGAAAGTGAGTATTTGAATCACATGTAGCATTTTTATTTATTATGGCTTTGCTCAAAGTCTGCTTAAAGCATAATTATTTACAAATATATGTCTTCTATGTTTCAGTGATTTTCAGTATACTACGATCAACGAGAAGATGGTGACAAGAACATTGTTACTTGCTCTACTGGTAAGTCTTACGGAAGTGAATATTTGAATCACCTTTAGCATTTTTATTTATTATGGCTTCTTTCAGCGTCTGTGTACAGCATAATTATTACCAATATATGTCTTCTATATTTTGATAAAAGGAAAGCTAGTATATATATGTGAGGCATATCGTCATCTCTATTCTATGGTCTTGGTCAATCTTGTCTCTATTTATGGACTGGTCACTAGTTATCTGTTGCTAAGATGTAACTATGTTAATACTTGCAGAATCCCTTGTTAATCAAGGTCAATAGTCAGGATATACATAAAATGATAAAGAGTAAAAAGAACTACAACTTTCAGTAAAGACATCGGAAGTCGAAGCAATCTACAGTCTATCACCAACCATATGGCCAAGGTTATAAATGAACTGGATCTTGTTAACTTCGCACAATGTTTACCAAGGTATCAGCTCCTGCTTGATGATGTGAGCACCTCTTAAACCTTAATGACTTAATCTATATAGTGGGCTTTCTCCTCTGTAGTACATAAATTAACTTGGTGTAGTGGTACTTAATGATCATTGGGTATTTGTGAGGTCGATGTGTAAGAATTACTCATTCCAACAAAAGCGCAAAAACCAGTATGAAGAAAGCTTGTTTCATGTCAGGATGATAGTTACGACATATATATTATATTAGAGTTCTGTATTTCTTTCTATATCTCAGTTAGGAGTCCTAGGATAACTTTGTCGAGTTCATGATTGTTTTCTATTCTGTTCAGTCTTCCCTTGTGTGGATAATATGGTGGGATTTGTTTTGCTGCCAATACAACCAGAGGAACATTTTGGAGGTATGTACAATAAAGTTATTATTATAGTCTCTTGCCTTACTGTTATATGAACTCTTGAAGCTAAGTTGTGCGGATGAATTGTGAGTACAGGTTGCGAAGATGAACGAAGAAGAGTGGAAGAACTTGTCTGCGGAACAAAAGGCTCCCTAAGAAAAGGTCTTGTCTCATATCAATTGTGTGAAGCAATGAAAAGTTCAATAACAAAATTTCTAATTTGTTTGCATTTTATTTAACAAGGTGGTTTTATGGAAGGATATAGAAGGCTGAAGGTAGAAGAAGCCATGCGCGAGGAGAAAAGGATAAAGAAGCTCTCAAAATTCTCAAAAAAAAAGAAAACCAACAATGTCACTAAGGTAAGTATAATTTGGCAATCTGTCGTCTTTTCTTTTTTTAATATGTATACAATTTTGATGAAAGAGTTTAGTAAGATCCATCAAACCTTTCTATATATATCAATTGCAGTACCCTGAAGCTCTCTGTTATAGAGATGTTTGTGGTTTTGGAATCCATTTTTGTTTATCTTAACATGGAACTTGGTTTAGATACGTTCACTGGCTATAGTCATTTTTGAATTTTTCAAAATGCCGTATTAATCAATAGCAATCTTTAAGTTTTTGGTCTCTTTTTGCAGGAAACCTTTGCTAGTTAAATCTTGAGGTATAGCCGGATTATTAAACAGAAACCTCAAAAATTTTCAGCTATCAAATAACTTTATTAAGTGTAGAAAGAAAATCATGTCTCTATCTGAGGTCTATCAAGAGGTGTATTTATAGTAAATTTTTCTGTAGTTTTTTTTTTTTTTTTTTCTGATGATCATCTGTTTTACAGGTTTGTTGTTCCAGGACCATGAAGATTTGCTTGGGAGTTGGTTCATTTCTTACCTGGTTGTTCAGAATAAGGTTGTGTTAATTCGAAAGCTCTCTGTTATATACAAGTTTGTGGTTTTGGATTCCATCTTTCCTTAACCTGGTTTAGATACATTAACTGGCTATAGTCATTTTTGAATTTTTCAATGTGCCTTTTTAATCAATCGCAATCTTTAAGTTGTTGGAAAATAACTTAATACTATTAAGTGTAGATAGAAAATCACGTCCATTTCTAAAGTCTATCAAGAGGTGTATGTATAGCCAAGCTTATCTGTGATTCTTTTTCTTCTGATTATCATCTCTTCTACATGTTACTTTGTTGTTCCAGGGCCATGAAGATCAAGATCTGCTTGGGAGTTAGTTCAGGAACATGAAGCTCTCTGTTATATAGAAGTTTGTGTTTTGGAATCCAACTTTTCTTAACTTAACATGGGACTTGGTTTAGATACTTTCATTGGCTATAGTCATTTTTGATTTTTTCAATGTGCCTTCTTAATCAATCGAAATCTGTAAGTTGTTGGTCTCTTCTTGCAGGGAACCTTTGCTAGTTCAACCCCAGCTCTTCTGTTTTAATCTTGAGCTATAGCCAGCTTAAACAGAAACCTCAATTTTTTCCCTAACTCGAGCTCTCTCGGTTTCCTCACTTCTGGTAAGATCTGAACTTTAGTGCAGTGGTGACCTAAGGTTACTTGGCTTTCCCCTTAAAAATATGACCTAACGGTTTCTTTTTCGATTAGGATGTGATTTTCTAAGCAGATCTTTCTTGGCTGTTTGGATAAATGACGCAGCGTAATAGTTGTTCGTGTTGCTTGGATAAGACCGTGGCAATGGCACCGTTTGTGTTGAAATACAACCAAGCGCGTTTTCCGAAATATCCAGGTAAATTCTATACTTTTCTTCTGGGACTAAATTATGCAGTGAAGGTCTTGCGTTAGACTAGTATAATTTCAAAGTTTTTGGTTTTGATGGTGACGAGTCATTGTTGCTTGCTCTGCTGGTAATTCTCACGGAAGTTGGTATTTGAATCAATTGTACCATTTTTATTTATTATGGCTTTTCTCAGCGTCTGCTTAAAACATAATTATTACAATAATATGTCTTCTGTATTTCAGTGAGTTTTATATAAACGGGAAACTAGTATATATGTGAGGCATATCATGATCTCTACTCTATGGTCTTGGTCAATCTTGTCTCTGTTTATGGATTGGTCACTAGTTATCTCGTGCTAAGGTCTAACTGTGTTAATATTTGCAGAATCCCTTGTTAATCAAGTTCAATAGCCATGATATCTCAAGGTAGAGGACACCAAGGGGATTCAAGAATTTTTGTTAATAACAGGGGTCATGATAGAGTTAAAAGTATTACAACTTTCGGTAAAGACATCGGAAGTCGAAACAACCTACTGTCTACCACCAACCATTTGGCAAAGGCTATAAATGAACTAGATCTTGCTAATTGCGCACAATGTTCACCAAGTTATCAGCTCCTGCCAGATGATGTAAGCGCCTATTAAAACTTAATCTTTATCTACAGTAGTTCAATATAGCGCCACAATTTGTTCTCTATGAGCATAAAGTTGATTTCTCCTGTAGTATCCATTTAGATTCCAAGCTACAAAAACTAACTTGGTGTAATAGTACCTAATGATCATTGGGTATTTGTCAGTTCGAGGTGTAAGGATCAATCATTCCAACAAAAGGGTAAAAACCAGTACGAAGAAAGCTTGTTTCATGTGTGGATGATAGGTATGAAGAAAGATTGTTTCATGTCAGGATATAGGTAGGACATATATATTATATTAGATTCTTGTATTTCTTTCTATATCTCAGTTAGGAGTCTTATGATAACATTGCCGAGTTCATGATTAATGTTTTCTATTTTGTTCAGTCTTCCCTTGTGTGGATAATATGGTGGATGATGATTTTTGCGGATGGATAAAACTAATGGTTGCTTGCAAGGGAGTGAGCCCAGTCCATATTTGGTAAGGCTCTATATCTTTACTTAATTTACCATCTTAATTTGGCTCATCCTTATTTTCTTTAGTATACAGTTCAGAAGAACTTTATGTTATTTTCAGCTATCAAATAACTTTATTAAATGTAGAAAGAAAAAAATGTGCTTAGTATTGATTTGCTCTACTTGTCTGCGTCAAATTTGTTTAGATATAGCCAAATTTTTCTGATTATCATCTGTTTTACAGGTTTGTTGTTACAGGACCATGGAGATCTGCTTGGGATTTGGTTCTTACCTGATTGTTCTAAATAAAGTATTGTTAATTCAAAAGCTCTCTGTTATATAGAAGTTTGTGGTTTTGGAATCCATCTTTTCTTAACTTAACATGCTATAATCATTTTGGAAATTTTCAATGTCCCTTTTTGATCAATCGCAATCTAAAAATTGTTGGTGTTTTCTTGCAGGAAACCTCGATTTTTTCCATAACTCAAGCTCTCTCGGTTTCCTCACTTCTGGTAACATCTGGACTTTAGTGCAGTGGTGACCTAAAGGTACTTGGCTTTCCCCCGAAAGGTATGCACTAACTGTTTCTTTCTCAACTGTAAGATCTCTATGACAATGCAGAAGCTTTGGTTGGAGTTTTTAGAGACCTCGGGACTAGAGACGAGGTGATGATGTCCAAATCAATCTTTAATACTTGTATCTTTTCACTCATTTTATAGTAATAACAAGCAAGAAAACTGACAGCATTCTCTTTTTTTCGGAAGCTAAAGGATCCCTTGAAGACTTAACAACCCATATCTGCCTACGTAATCTATGCTAACGAGAGAAGAGTGCTGCTTTACAAGAAGATAATCAATTTTTGTGGTAAGTAATGTAAAATGGAATTATTATAATCTCTCAAGGACAGCGAGCTATAACAATCCCAAAGCTCTGGTTGGAGTTATAGAGACATCGAGACGAGGTGATGATTTCCACATCAAACTTCTTAACATGTATCTTTTTTTTTTTTCACTCGAGAACTGTTTTAATAGTAATAAAATTGATAGCATTATCGTTTTCTAGGAAGCTAAAGGAATCCATATTTTAATAGTAATAAAATTGATAGCATTATCATTTACCAACACATTAAGGACCGGCTTGACGCAGATCATGGGACCAAGGTGATGATGTCTACATTAATCTTTAATACATGTCTCTTTTCACTCGAAAACTGTTTTTATAGTAGTACAAGCAAGAGCTGACAGAAATCTCGTTTTTAGGAAGCTAAAGGATCTCTTGAAGACTTAACAACCCGTATCTGCCTACGTAATCTATGGTAACGAGATTATTATATTTACGAGAAGATAAACAATTTTTGAGGTAAGTGATGTAAAATGCAATTATTATAGTCTCTTGTCTTACTGTTATTTGAACTCTTGAAGAAGCTCTCCAAATTCTCAAAAAGAGAAAACCGAGAATGTCACTAAGGTTAGTATCTTACGCTTGACATAATTGTGTCTTTTGCTGTTCTTACCAATGGGTAATATAATGTTGAATGTGGATTGTGATCATTACTTCAACAACAATAAATGAGGTCGTTTTTTCTCCACTTGAGCAAATGTCTTTGTAAATTTTGGCTCAACATTATATGCATGCAGACTTGGTAGCTGGACTAGAGAAGGATAAAGCACTAGTCTCTACTCATTCTGCATTAGATTTGTTCGTCTCAATAAGATTCTTTTTACCCAACAAAACAAGGTTTTTTTTTTAATCTAGAATTATTTGTTCTCGGTGGACGACTCTTAATGCATAAGAGAAAAAGCCTTAAGGGGAGAAGTACAAGGCAGAGAAGGAAGCTTATCTCAAGGTTATTACAAAGGAGAAGTGATAGAAAGAAGCTATGAAACTTCTGGAAGATGAGCAAATGCAGGAAACTACGATGGAGCTGCACATAAATTGTTCCAAGTAAGCACATCATTTCATTCTCTCCAGTTACAACCTGTGAAATAATTATCGGTTCAGAGATAGACAATGTGGGTTTACTAAGATAATTTCCTTTGATTCAGATATGTCTTGGAGTCTGAGCATGTGAAGCAGTTCTTTGATTACATACAGCTTCCTATTTTCAACCAAAACAGAAAAGCAAACTCTTAAAAACTCGTCCACGCTAGTACTTATCACTCCCTCTCATTAAAAGCCTTTCTCTTGGCAGGTGGCATACAGAGAGAGATTCACAACCGTTAAGAGACATGAAGCTAACTAGGAAGTCGAAGTTGTGGAGCAGACTTTGTCAAATCAGCTGAGAGAAGTCTGGCAACACATCAAGAATGAAAAGTTGTTCCAGGGAGAAGGATGCCAACAACTTGGTTCAAATGGCGGATGCTACGCCAGAAAAGTGGTAGAGCTTCAATAAGCCAGAACTGAACAGAGAAGACTGCTGCTGAAAATGACAAGCAAATTATTTATCGCTGGGTTAGTTTTGATTTACTTGGTTCAACCAGAATATGCTTTCGTAAATCACCTAAGTCCTTGTCATATAACTGTCATGTAGGAAATGGAATAGAAGTTGTTGGCCATACGTTTTAACACCCAATATAAGACTACTTAGACACGCTCTTGAATTGGCCGGTGGAGTTCTTGAGGCTACCGAGATAGATAATAGAGCTATGGCACGTGTGTAAGGTCTCTGTGACCCACATAAGTCACTTGTTCTTAGAGGTAGAAGTTTTGTAGACTTGAGTACCTCAGAGAATCTTTTGCACAAAATTGCAACAATGGACACAATCTGGCCTTGATCTCCAGGTATATTTACATTGCAGACTTAAGTTCATTATGTTTTATGATCATTGTATACTTTCAAAATTTTTGGTTTGCAGTTTTTCGCAGATTTCACTCAAACTTCTCGAATCAAGTAACTATATAACCAGACATCAAGCTATTTAGGTAGGGTAACAGTCGGGAAATTTTATAATGCTAAGATCTCATTTCTAAGGACATGGAATCCATCCCTTGAGGGAAAGTATATTCCCCTGAATATCGCCAAAAGATCTATCTTGCCTTTATGTATTTCTTTATAGTAGATACATCGACTTATAATACTCATTTGCTCTTCTAGATTTAACTCAGATGGAATTTACGAACACCTTGACTCAGTTGATAGGATCATGGGAATGGCTTTCAAAGCATTATAAAATCTCTCAAGGAAGCCGAAGCTCTGGTTGGAGTTTACAGAGACGTCGAGACGAGGTGATGATTTCCACATCAATCTTTTTAACATGTTATCTTTTTTCACTCGAGACCTGTTTTAATAGTAATAAGGAGCAATAAAACTGACAGCATTTTTAGGAAGCTAAAGGACCGCTTGAAGCCTACACGACTCGTATCTGCCTACCTAATCTTTGCAAACAAGAGGAGCATTTTGGAGGTACGTACAATAAAGCTATTATTATCGTCTCTTTTGTTATTTGAATTCTTGAAGCTAAGTTGTGCGGATGAATTGTGAGTAGAGGTTGCAAAGATGAACAAAGAAGAGTGGAAGAACTTGCGTGCGGAAGGAAGGCTCCCTTAGAAAAGGTCTTGTCCCATATCAATTGTGTGAAGCAATGAAAAGTTCAAAAAACAGAATTTCTAACTTGTTTTCATATTATTGAACAAGGAGATATATATGCGGAAGGATATAAAAGGCTGAAGGCAGAAGAAGCCATGAGCCAGAAGAAGAGGATAAAGAAGCTCTCCAAGTTCTCAAGAAAGAGAACATTGTTGCTTGCTCTGCTGATAATTCTCAGGAAAGTGAGTATTTGAATCACATGTAGCATTTTTATTTATTATGGCTTTGCTCAAAGTCTGCTTAAAGCATAATTATTTACAAATATATGTCTTCTATGTTTCAGTGATTTTCAGTATACTACGATCAACGAGAAGATGGTGACAAGAACATTGTTACTTGCTCTACTGGTAAGTCTTACGGAAGTGAATATTTGAATCACCTTTAGCATTTTTATTTATTATGGCTTCTTTCAGCGTCTGTGTACAGCATAATTATTACCAATATATGTCTTCTATATTTTGATAAAAGGAAAGCTAGTATATATATGTGAGGCATATCGTCATCTCTATTCTATGGTCTTGGTCAATCTTGTCTCTATTTATGGACTGGTCACTAGTTATCTGTTGCTAAGATGTAACTATGTTAATACTTGCAGAATCCCTTGTTAATCAAGGTCAATAGTCAGGATATACATAAAATGATAAAGAGTAAAAAGAACTACAACTTTCAGTAAAGACATCGGAAGTCGAAGCAATCTACAGTCTATCACCAACCATATGGCCAAGGTTATAAATGAACTGGATCTTGTTAACTTCGCACAATGTTTACCAAGGTATCAGCTCCTGCTTGATGATGTGAGCACCTCTTAAACCTTAATGACTTAATCTATATAGTGGGCTTTCTCCTCTGTAGTACATAAATTAACTTGGTGTAGTGGTACTTAATGATCATTGGGTATTTGTGAGGTCGATGTGTAAGAATTACTCATTCCAACAAAAGCGCAAAAACCAGTATGAAGAAAGCTTGTTTCATGTCAGGATGATAGTTACGACATATATATTATATTAGAGTTCTGTATTTCTTTCTATATCTCAGTTAGGAGTCCTAGGATAACTTTGTCGAGTTCATGATTGTTTTCTATTCTGTTCAGTCTTCCCTTGTGTGGATAATATGGTGGGATTTGTTTTGCTGCCAATACAACCAGAGGAACATTTTGGAGGTATGTACAATAAAGTTATTATTATAGTCTCTTGCCTTACTGTTATATGAACTCTTGAAGCTAAGTTGTGCGGATGAATTGTGAGTACAGGTTGCGAAGATGAACGAAGAAGAGTGGAAGAACTTGTCTGCGGAACAAAAGGCTCCCTAAGAAAAGGTCTTGTCTCATATCAATTGTGTGAAGCTATGAAAAGTTCAATAACAAAATTTCTAATTTGTTTGCATTTTATTTAACAAGGTGGTTATATGGAAGGATATAGAAGGCTGAAGGTAGAAGAAGCCATGCGCGAGGAGAAAAGGATAAAGAAGCTCTCAGAATTCTCAAAAAAAAGAAAACCAACAATGTCACTAAGGTAAGTATAATTTGGCAGTCTGTCGTCTTTTCTGTTTTTGTATCATTTCACTCATTTTATAGTAATAACAAGCAAGAAAACTGACAGCATTCTCTTTTTTTAGGAAGCTAAAGGATCCCTTGAAGACTTAACAACCCGTATCTGCCTACGCAATCTATGGTAACGAGAGACGAGTGCTGCTTTACGAGATGATAAGCAATTTTTGAGGTAAGTAATGTAAAATGCAATTATTATAGTCTCTTGTCTTACTGTTATTTGAACTCATGAAGCTAAGTTGTGCGGATGAATTGTGAGTACAGTTTGCGAAGATGAACGAAGAAGACTGGAAGAACATGTCTGCAGAACAAAAGGCTCCCTAGGAAAAGGTCTTGTCTCATATCAATTGTATGAATCAATGAAAAGTTCAAAAAAAAAATTTCTAGCTTGTTGCATATTATTAAACAAGAAGATATATATATATATATATGGAAGGATATAATAGACTGAAGGTCGAAGAAGCCATGAGCGAGAAGAAGAGGATAAAGAAGCTCTCCAAATTCTCAAAAAGAGAAAACCGAGAATGTCACTAAGGTTAGTATCTTACGCTTGACATATTTGTGTCTTTTGCTGTTCTTACGAATGGATAATATAATATTGAATGTGAGATTGTGATCATTACTTCGACAACAATAAATGAGGTCGTTTTTTCTCCACTTGAGCAAATGTCTTTGTAAATTTTGGCTCAACATTATATGCATGCAGACTTGGTAGCTGGACTAGAGAAGGGTAAAAGCACTAGTCTCTACTCATTCTGCATTAGATTTGTTCGTCTCAATAAGATTCTTTTTACCCAACAAAACAAGGTTTTTTTTTTTATCTAGAATTATTTGTTCTCGGTGGACGACTCTTAATGCATAAGAGAAAAAGCCTTAAGGGGAGAAGTACAAGGCAGAGAAGGAAGCTTATCTCAAGGTTATTACAAAGGAGAAGTACAATGGAGCTGCACTTAAATTGTTCCAAGTAAACACATCATTACATTCTCTCTGGTTACAGTCTGTGAAATAATTATCGGTTCAGAGATAGACAATGTGGGTTTACTAACATAATTTCCTTTGATTCAGATATGTCTTGGAGTCTGAGAATGTGAAGAAGTTCTTTGATTACATACAGCTTCCTATTTTCAACCAAAACAGAAAAGCAAACTCTTAAAAACTCCTTCACGCTAGTACTTATCACTCCCTCTCATGAAAAGCCTTTCTCTTGGCAGAAAAGCAAATTCTCATGTATCAGTTTGATACATATATGTATGTCTAACCTTATTTGAAAATTGATGCCTCTAGTACTTATCACTCCCTCTCATGATAAGCCTTTCTCTTGGCAGGTGGCATACGGAGAGAGATTCGCAACCGTTAAGAGACTTGAAGCTAACTAGAAGTCGAAGTTGTGGAGCAGAATTTGTCAAATCATCTGAGAGAAGTCTGGCAACACATCAAGAATGAAAGGTTGTTGCAGGGAGAAGGATGCCAACAACTTGGTTCAAATGGCGGATGCTACTCTAGAAAAGTGTAGAGCATCAATAAGTCAGAACAGAACAGAGAAGACTGCTGCTTAAAAAGACAAGCAAATCAATTATCATTGGGTAGTTTTGATTTACTCGGTTCAACCGGAATTTGCTTTCGTAAATCACCTAAGTCCTTGTCATATAACTATCGTGTAGGAAATGGAATAGAAGCTCTTGGCCTTAGTTTCAACACCCAATACAAGACTACTTAGACACGCCCTTGAATTGGCCGGTGGAGTTCATGAGGCTAGAAGTTCATCGAATCTTTTGCCAAAAATTGCAACAATGGACACAGTTTGGCCTTAATCTCCAGGTAAATTTACATTGTAGACATAAGTTCACTATGATTTATGCTCTGAAAGTCTTGATTTAGACTAAGTATAATTTAAAAGTTTTGGGTTTGCCGTTTTTCGCAGTAGTGTCACTTATACGAGAGTCTGGGAATCTTATAAGGTTGAGATCTCATTTCTAAGAACATGGTATCCATCCCTTGAGGGAAAGTATATTCCCTTGAAGATTGACAAAAGATCTATCTTGCGTTATGTATTTCCGGAGAGCAAAGACATTGACTATTTCTCTTTCTTTAAAAGGCTTATAATATGCTCATTTACTCTTTTAGAGTTTATTCATATGGAACTTACGAACATTTTAAGGACTGGCCTGACTCAATTGATGGGAATGGCTTCCAAATCATGGTAAAATCTTTCAGGCACAGCTTCTATAACAATGCCGGAGCTTTGGTTGGAGTTTACAGAGACGAGGTGATGATTTCCACATCAATCTTTTTAACCTGTTTCTTTTTTCACTCGAGAACTGTATTAATAGTAATAAGAAGTAATAAAGCTAGGAGAATTCTCGTTTTCTAGGAAGCTAAAGGACCGCTTGAAGCCTACATAATTCATATCTGCCTACCTAATCTATGCAAACAAGAGGAGCATTTTGGAGGTAAAGTAGAGTAAAGTTATTATTATAGTCTCTTTTATGTTATTTGAACTCTTGAAGCTAAGTTGTGCAGATGAATTGTGAGTACATGTTGCGAAGATGAACGAGAAGAGAGGAAGAACTTTCATGCCGTACGAAAGGCTCCCTAAGCAAAGGTCATGTCCCATATCAATCGTGTAAAGCAATGAAAAGTTCATAAAACAAAATTTCTAACTTGTTTGCATATTATTGAACAAGGAGATATATATGGAAGGATATAAAAAGCTGAAGGCAGAAGAAGCCATGAGCGTGAAGAAGATGATAAAGAAGCTCTCCAAGCTCTCATGGAAGAGAAATCAACAATGTCATTAAGGTTAGTAACTTACCTCACATGCCTTTAGCCAGTAGTAGGAAATCATTCTGGGCCAAGTCAATCACTAAGAACAACACATGTTTCTTGCACAAGAAGAAAGAAACGAGAAAGACAAATGTAGCTCCATATTAGATTCAATGACCAATCTCAAATCTCTGCAACAATCTAGAAGATGATGGTACTCTTTTCCGTTGAAGATCGATGACAAGGAAAAGACAGAGGAGGAGGAACTCGAAACGCTTAAAAAACTACAAGTCGTGAAGGAACTGAAACCTAACATCTTCGTAAGTTACTTACATCTTCCTAATCTAGATCTGAACCATAGGGTCTTTGTGATTCTTTTGTGTTATATTTGGGGAGATAGTTTTACTCTTTATATTGAAAAATTTTCTTTGGTAGGTTTCTCAAGGGTCACAATTTAAGGTTTGTTTGACTTGAACTGATTATCTCACTCATATCTATTCTCAGCTTGATTGAATTTGCTGATGAATAACTAATTTAGAGGCACATATGTATGTAACGAGTATAATTTGCTTAGTTTGGTTTATTTAAAAATACAGTTTCAGAGGCAATTTAGATGATTGGTTTTGTTTACGCTTCTTATTATAAGTTTGTGTTATTCAGCTACCAAATAAGTCTTGCAAGGGAGCGATCCCAATCCAGATGTAATAAGGTTCTGTATTTTTACTTGATTTACTCTTTGAAATTGGCTCATCCGTTTTTTTTTGAGAAAAGTTAACATGCATTTTTGGGATGCATATTGCAGATACTTTGCTGGAAATTTCACTTCACTGATCTGGATTCTTTCGATCTCATTAGCTGCTGTCAACCCTGGTGATGGTAAGAACCTTTTTTCCTTGAAGATCTCAAGAAAAGCTACAATTTTTGCTTCTAGATTACATTTTGTCTCACTGAATTTAGAGTGAGATCTGTGCATATTGGTTGAGGATTTTTAGATTTTCTTCAGAGATAACAACAACTCTGAGTTATCTCATCTATCATTGAATCTTTCTGTTAAATTCTATTTTGAACGGTCACGAACTGTAAATGCTGCAAGGAGAGCTTGGTGACAACTTAGCTAAGTTCACTTCTATCAGGGGAATGTTAGCATTGAGGCACAAAATGTAACAATTTTGATAAGTTTATTTGGATATTTCTTGTAACCTTTTGTGTTTGCTTTTTGTTTACTCTGCTTATCCAGAGATTTCAGCAACAATCGCATTGGAGGAAGCATACCTCTTAATTTGTCGGTTACATTGCAGCATTTGTATGTATGTATACACTTAACAATGTATTTTTTATAGGGTTTGTTGCTTTGAACAGTTAGTATGTATACAGCCAATCAGTTCACCGGAAGCATCCCGGAATCTATAGGAATATTTAGTTTTCTAAATGACATGTAAGTTCAAATTACTCCCAAATTCTTTTTTTTTTTCCATTGCTTTGTGCTGATGAGAATCATATCATTTGTTTTTAGGTCTTTGAATAAAAACCTTCTCTCGGGAAAGCTACCTGACGTGTTTCAAAACCTTGTCTGGTTGATTAATCTGTATGATTCTTCTTGTTTATAGTTTGGTGAGTGTTATTGTTTCTATGGATTGTTTTGTGATCTGATATTTTTGTGCAGCGATATATCATCTGAAAATCTAAGCGGCACATTTTCTCCTTTGGCAGTTTTCTTTCGGGTAATCAGTTCACCGGAAGCATCCCATAATCGCTAGGAACATTTAGTTTTCTGAATGACATGTAAGTTCATATTACTCCCAAATTAAATTTTTTCAATGTTTTGTGCTGATGAGAATCATATCATTTTGTTTTCAAGTCTTTGAACGATAACCTTCTCTCAGTAGAGCTACCTGACGAGTTTCAAAACATTCTCGGGCTGATTAATCTGTATGCTTCTTCTTCTTTATAGTTTGGTGAAGAATTATTGTTTCTATGGATTGTTTTTGGTAATCTGATATTTTTGTGTAGTGATATATCATCTAACAATCTAAGCGGCACATTTGCTCCTTCAATGGAGAATTTATCAACTCTTACAACATTGTAAGTTTTGATCATTACAAAAAAAGTTGAATTTCTTTTGGCTTCTTTCTTCACTAAGCTGATAGTCTGAGTTTTGCAGACGTGTTCAGAACAACCAGCTCTCACGAAATCTGGACGTTCTTAAAGGGCTAATGTAATGCCCCTCACCTAGACTATGACTAGGCCGGGTGGAGGCTAACACCAAAAGATGAATCAGAGCCAAAAGACCATAAGGGAATCGAATGGAGCTAAGTAAAGACTTGTCCTAGAAAAGTTAGGGAAAGCATCGAGGAAGCTTGAAGGAAGAGATAGCAAGATCGTTAGGATTATAAGGAGAAACTCTCGTCGGAAACTCAAAAAGGCCATCACCGAAAGGTAAGGTGGTTGGACTTATCATACTTGGGCAAAGTAAAGGATGTGTATTGAGAATAAATGGTTTTTGGGCGAGGGATATAAAAGTTGGGCGAGAGAAAATGAGTTTGGGACGAAGGAATGCATAATTGGCCAAAACGGACGACCCGCGGACGATGCATAATCGATCTGCGGTGAGCGACGGACCATCCGGTACGATTTATGTACGGCCTGCGGACGTGTGCTCGTCCTATACGGACGTGTGCTTGGACCGTGAGGACGTGTGCATGGACTGTGAGGACGTGTGCTCGGACTGTGCGGACGTGTGCTCTGCTCCGTGTCCGTTCAAGGCAACGACACGCCTGCTGCCTGCCTGCCTGCTTCACCAGAAGCTGCTGGGTGTCGCCACCGGAAGCGGTGACTCAGCGACACATGTCGCCAGCGGAGGCATGACCAGTGGCGAGGTGGTTGCGCAGCAGCTTAGAAACCGACTTAGTAACCCTATATAAACTCTCGTCGTTCATTTGAAATTCTCAACCAAAAATAACAAATGACCTTAGTATTGTTGAGAAGAAGTTCCGAGAAAAATTCCGAGAAAAGTTCTGATTCCGAAAGTTGGTAAGTTTTCCGATTTTAGTTTAGTTTTAAGTAATCGTCGATTAGTTTCTAATTAAGTAGGTTACAATGTGTTAGATAACTGCTTAAGATGAGTGAGATACCTATGAAACCAAGGAGTAGTAGAATGAGTCGTTTCCCGAGAATGCGTGGATCTCCGGTAAGTTCCGGACATGTGTCGTAGCACATGTTTAGGTGTTTATTCATTCAAATTAATTATGAAATTACTAATAGAGGTTAATGTAATCATACTTAGTGATATCTGTGATTGTTTGACTTGTTGAGTTATAATGTTAATGCATGATGTTCATTTTTAGTATAACCGTTATGCTGTCCATTTTTCGGTAACATAACCGTTATGCTGTCCAATTGTTTGTCTGTGTTGTTGTTGTTAGTTGGAATTGAATAGCGAACTAGCATTAGCCGAGTCAAGTTATCCCACCCGTCTGTTGTGCGTTGCGTGCAACTCCGTAACGATATGGCTTACGAAAGCTCGGGGCTAGCTTGCAACCGACCGGGCGCTACATGACGATGTAGTATAAGGGATGCGGATCTCTTTTAGACTTACGTGTCTAGGAGTGTAAGGCATTGCCTCTAAGATGACATGAATTCGTAGAGGCCTAAACTAAAATGGAGTAGAAGCCTGTTCATAGAATCGTCAAGTACTTGCATTGCTTATTTCGAGTCTTATTGCTTATTGTTTGTTCCGTTGCTTGGTTATATGAGTTTGCGATTCGGGTAATGGTAAGAGTGATTCCATAGAAACCCCGGACTAACTGAGTAATCTTAGATTACTCATGATGCTACCCTTTTATTTTTTTGCAGGAAAACTATTAGAGGGTGCAATGATCATTAGGCCAACCAGCTTAGATTTTTACAACTCTTTTTAAATAACGATATTGTTTATTAGTTATGATTTCCAAAAAGGATCCGACCTTTGGTAATATTTTACTCGTATATTATACTATGTAAAGACTCAAAATTTATAAAGGAAATGATTAAACCAATGATATTATTAGTCTAGTCCAAGATTTACACAACTCGCGTTCGCGGAACGGGTTGTAAAGCCATAGGCCACGAACGTGAGGAAAAGATTCTTGCGGTTGGTCGACTTAGGTTAGCGGTTTTTCATCTGTGAGCTTCGGCTGATTAGCTGCGGGGGTCTAACGTGACGCTTCCGATTCATTCTTATTTCTAGTACGGTTCGGGGGTGTTACAAGCGTGGTATCAGAGCATGGTTAATTTATGCTCATGGGAAATCATGTTTTATCGTTTTATCGAGTAAATGTGTCACAAAAGCTGTTAGGAACTAGTATGACCATTTGCTTATTATTAAGTAGTTGGGTTTTAAGACTTACCTTTTATTTCGTGTTGCAGATTGTGATACGGGGACGCGGTCGAGGCCGTGATCGTGGATCCAGAGGTGGGAGGATCTCTAGTCCACTATTGGACAGGTTCGAGTACCGGCCTATTATGGAGGCAAGTTTCTCGGAGTTGTCGCAGTGGAATGCTGAGGCAGGACCTAGTGTTCCGGCGCATGATTGTGAGGTTTCTCCGATTGGACAGTGTGTACTTCTATGACTATTAGATGTACAACTATCCGTTTTGGCGTTGCCTATTCGTACATCTAATAGTCATACAAGTACAAACTGTCCTAAGAGTTATACAACTAGGGGAAGGGCTTTATTCATCTAGCTAGGCTTCTAAAGCCACTATTTTACAAAAAGAAAGGGTTAACACCCTACATACCTTCGCCTTAGACCCACTACAGGTCAATCATATCTATACCTACACTTCCTACACGGACATCCTGGCCTAGACCAGTAGTCTCTACCACGGTTGATGTGGATGCATGAGTAGTTGCAGGAGCAAATTGCTGAGACGCTGCCTCTGAAGGCCCCACCATGACTATTGGACACGAATTAGCGTAGTGCCAAATCTTGTTACATAGTGAACATCGGATCACCGGATCCCCGTATGGGCGGTAGAAATGACACCACCTCGGGTAGTGACCCATCTCACCACACGTGTCGCAATATGGCTACCACTATGCAGGTGTTGGAATCACTGGCGCCTCTGTATCAGTCCTCGGGGTATCTCCCCGTCTGATAGTATCATTCTCCTGCAAAAATGCTGCAAGTGAAGTCCGAGAGGGAAGGATAATTGAACGACGGCACCACGGGCAATACCACCGGCTCACTTGGAACAATCTGATCCTCATCATCATCTAGCACCACTACCAGAGAAATAATGGTTCCAAATCCGGGAAGGATAAGATATTCCTCCCACATAGTCTCATCCGTCTCACGCTCGGATTCAACCATTTTGTACTCATCCAGGTCAATGGTTGGAATAGGTGCCTCCATGATCTCTATTTCATGATCAGAATTGTTCGTAAATGAAGATATTATACCACCATCCTCGCGCGGTCCGGTCTTGCTCTTGAGAGTGCTCTGATCTATCACCCTCCACAGTGCAATCGGAGAAACCTCACGATCAAGCGCTAGAACACTAGGTCCTGCCTCAACATTCCACTGCGACAACTCCGAGAAACTTGCCTCCATAATAGGCCGATACTCGAACCTGTCCAATGGTGGACTAGAGACACTCCCACCTCTGGATCCACGACCACGGCCTCGACCGTTTCCCCGTATCACAATCTGCAACACGAAATAAAAGGTAAGTCTTAAATCCCAACTACTTAATAATAAGCAAATGATCATACCAGTTCCTAACAGCTGTTGTGACACATTTACTCGATAAAACGATAAAACATGATTTCTCATGAGCATAAATTAACTATGCTCTGATACCACGCTTGGAACACCCCCGAACTGTCCTAGAAATAAGAACGAATCGGAAGCGTCACGTTAGACCTCCGCAGCTAGTCAGCCGAAGCTCACAGATGAAAAACCGCTAACCTAAGTCGACCAACCGCAAGAATATTTTCCTCACGTTCGTGGCCTAAGGCTTTACAACCTGTTCCGCGAATGCGAGTTGTGTTAGTCTTTGACTAGACTAATAATATCATTGGTTTAATCATTTCCTTTATAAATTTTGAGTCTTTACATAGTATAATATATGAGTAAAACATTACCAAAGCTTGTATAACAGGTCGTTATTTACAAAGAGATGTAAAAATCTAAGCTGGTTGGTCTAATGATCATTGCAGCCTCTAATGGTTTTCCCGCTAAGGTTTCCTGCAAAAAACTAAAAGGGTAGCATCATGAGTAATCTAAGATTACTCAGTTAGTCCGGGGTTTCTATGGAATCACTCTTACCATTACCCAAATCCCAAACTCAAATAACCAAGCAACGGAACAAACAAGAAGCAATAAGACTCGAAATAAACAATGCAAGTACTTGACGATTCTATGAACATGCTTCTACTCCATTTTAGTTTAGGCCTCTACGAATTCATGTCATCCCAGAGGCAATGCCTTACATTCCTAGACACGTAAGTCTAAAAGAGATCTGCATCCCTTATACTACATCGTCATGTTGCGCCCGGTCGGTTGCAAGCCAGCCCTGAGCCTTCGTAAGCCATAGCATTACGGAGTTGCACGCAACGCACAGCAGACGGGTGGGATAACTTGATTCGGCTAATGCTAGTTAGCTATTCAATTCCATCTAACAACAACAACACAAACAAACAATTGAACAACATAACGGTTATGTTACCGAAAAACGGGTAGCATAACGGTTACGTTGTCGGAAAACGGGTAACATAACGTGTATATTAAAAATGAACATCATGCATTAACATTATAACTCAACAAGTCAAACAATCACAAATATCACTAAGTATCATTACATTAACCTCTATTAGTAATTTCATAATTAAATTGAATGAATAAACACCTAAACATGTGCTACGACATATGTACCGAACTTACCGGAGATCCACTCATTCTCGGGAAACGACTCATTCTACTACTCCTTGGTTCCATAGGTATCTCACTCATCTTAAGCAGTTATCTAACACATTATAACCTACTTAATTAGAAACTAATCGACGATTACTTAAAACTAAACTAAAATCGGAAAACTTACCAACTTTCGGAATCGGAACTTTTCTCGGAATTTTTCTCGGAACTTCTTCTCAACACTACTAAGGTCGTTTGTTATTTTTAGTTGAGAATTTCAAATGAACGATGAGGGTTTATATAGGGTTACTAAGTCGGTTTTTAAGCTGCTTCGCAACCACCTCGCCCCTGATCTTGCCTCCGACGGCGACATGTGTTGCTGAGTCACCGCTTCCGGTGGCGACACCCAGCAGCTTCTGGTGAAGCAGGCACGCAGGCAGCAGGTGTGGCGTTACCTTGAACGGACACGGAGCAGAGCACACGTCTGCACGGTCCGAGCAAACTTCCTTCACGGTCCGAGCACACGTCCTCACAGTCCTTGCACACGTCCTCACGGTCCAAGCACACGTCCGTACAGGCCGAGCACACGTCCGCATGCCGTACATGCATCGTACCGGATGGTCCGTCGCTCGCTGCGGATCGATTAAGCATCGTCCGCGGGTCGTCCGTTTTGGCCAATTATGCATTCCTTCGTCCCAAACTCATTTTCTCTCGCCCAACTTTTATATCCCTCGCCCAAAAACCATTTATTCTCAATATCCATCCTTAACTTTGCCCAAGTATGATAAATCCAACCACCTTACCTTTCAGTGATGGCCTTTCTGAGTTTCCGACAAGAGTTTCTCCTTATAATCCTAACGATCTTACTATCTCTTCCTTCAAGCTTCCTCGATGCTTTGTCTAACTTTTCTAGGACAAGTCTTTTCTTAGCTCCATTCGATTCCCTTATGGTCTTTTGGCTCCGATTCATCTTTTGGCGTTAGCCTCCACTCGGCCTAGTCATAGTTTAGGTTAGGGGCATTACATTCTTCCTCTTCAAGACTTATATGTTTCTTTCTCTCACAAAATATAGATTCATAAGTATGTAGTGAATAAACTCTTCTCTGGACCCATAACGGACAAATTACTAAGCATTCCAGAATTCCTGTAAGTTCTCTTTAATTTGTTGCATACTAATACTATGGAGGCATTTCAGGTTCTTACAGTTGCTCTGTGTATAATTTGGTGATCCATATCAATTCTCAGTTTTCCTCTTCTTTTTGTGGTCTTAATATTGATTAAAATTGCTGACGAAAACCTTATTATAGGCATGTATGTATATATTTATACAGTTCAGAAGCACTTTATATGATTGATTTTTCTTAAGCTTCTTATAATAAGGTTTATGTATGCTATGTTGATCTATTAGGCTCCTATCATGGGTTGGGATTTTGTGTTTTCTTATTGTAGGTTTGTTACATGTGAAAAGTTTGATGCATGGATGTGTTATATACAAGTTTGTGGTTTTGGAATCCATCTTTCCTTAACCTTACATGGGACTTGGTTTAGATACATTAACTGGCTATAGTCATTTTTGAATTTTTTCAATGTGCCTTTTTAATCAATCGCAATCTTTAAGTTGCTGGTCTCTTCTTGCAGGAAACCTCGATTGTTTATTCGACTCCAACTCTTCTGTTTAATCTGTTAACTAATGCAGTGTAATAGTTGTTTGTGTTGCTTGGCTAAGACAGTGGCAGTGGCACCATTTCTGTTGAACTACAATGGAGCATGTTTTCGACAATATCCTGGTAAATTCTAAACTACTATTCTTCTGAGACTAAATTATGCTATGAAGGTCTTGCGTTAGACTAGTATAATTTCAAAAAATTTGGTTTTGTCTTTTTCGTAGACTACACATGCTAGTGGATTATATAGCTACAAGCAAGCTATTAAGGTAGGGTTATACGAGAGTTTGGAAGTTTTGTAAGCTTGAGAGCATGGGATCCATCCTTTGAGCCCTAAATATCGACAAAAGCTCTATCTTGCATTTTGTATTTCCTTTGACAAAAAAGAAAGTTGACATCGACATTGACTATTTATTCTTCTGGTGTACGTTTACTCAACCGGAATTTACCAACACATTAAAGGACTGGCTTGATGCAGATCATGGGACCACAGTAATACATGTCTCTTTTCACTCGCAAACTGTTTTTATGGTAAAACCAGCAAACAAACTGACAACATTCTCATTTTTAGGAAGCTAAAAGACCCCTTGAAGACTTAACAACCCGGATCTGCCTACATAATCTATGGTAACTAGAGACTAGTGCTGCTTTACGAGAAGATAAACACAATTTATGAGGTAAGTAATGTAAAATGCAATTATTATAGTCTCTTGTCTTAGTGTTATTTGAGCTCTAGAAGTTAAGTTGTGCAGATGAATTGTGAGTACAAGTTGCGAAAGCAACGAAGAAGAGTGGAAGAACTTGTCTGCAGAACGAAAGGCTCCCTAAGAAAAGGTCTTGTCTTATATCAATTGTTTGAAGCAATGAAAAGTTCAAAAAAAAAATTTAAACTTGTTTGCGTACTACTGAACAAGGAGAATGTCACTAGGTTAGTATCTTACACTTGACAGATTTGTGTCTTTTGCTATTCTTACCAATGAGGAATATAATGTTGAATGTGGATTGTGATCATTACTTCAACAACATAATTACTAAAATAATTTTCTTTGATTCAGATATGTCTTGGAGTCTGAGCATGTGAAGAAATTCTTTGATTACATACAGCTTCCTATTTTACACCAAAACAGAAAAGCAAACTCATAAAAACTCCTCCACGCTGTGATTCTCATGATCAGTTTGATACATATATGTCTAAACTTATTTGAAAATTGATGTCTCTAGTACGGAAAAGCCTTTCTCTGGGCAGGTGGCATACGGAAAGAGATTCGCAACCGTTAAGAGACATGAAGCTAACCGTTAAGAGACATGAATGCATATGGCAGTCCCGCTACACCATCTGTTACCCTTAATCCACTATCACCAACGGTTTAAGGCTTCCCAAGGGTTTCTCCAGCACACTGGAATTTTTCTAAGTGTTTTGGGTCTGAGGAATCAAATGGCGAAACTGGAATATTTATAGGCGAGGTAAGTCGATTACGGAAGCAGAAGGTGGTTGCGTGCATACGGCGTCACAACACATGGCAGGGCAGATGTCGATCACCGGAGCCGTGCAGACAAGAAGATGCTTTCGGACGCTACCACCTGTTTTAACGGATAAACTTCACCCTAATAGATAAACATCACCTTAATTGGATAAGTTTCGACCCTAAATGGATAAGGACGACTAGGGATTTGAAAAGCTTCAGCCCTGATTCAATATTGGCCGTCAATTCCCTTAAGCTAGCAAAATCAAGTATTTGCCACCGATCCGCGAGAACACTGATGCGGCAGTTTCCGTCACCGATGTCTCAAGTAGGTTGATGATGCCGCTTTCTGCTAGGTCTATAATAAGTGCTAGGCACAGGTTTATAGAGCATATTCTTATACTCTTAACGATCCGTGTTCCCTGCTGACACTATCCATCAAACACGGTACCTACTTGTACTAGACTACCCCAAATGAACTCTCCTCGACATTCTAAGATTTTCCCTAGACCAAAACTAAGGTTCCTTAAACTAGATTATTTTTCAGGTCTAACCTAGTGGTTTCTCGACTTATCTTAACAAATTTTGCTGATAGTCGTGCCTTAGCTAAGCTTGCCAGTCTGGTGGAGAATCATTTCTTTGCTTGTCGACTCGATCTTAACTTATACTCCTTGCTCATGACTTAGCTTACAGAATGGCTGAACTAATCATGCCTTTCCTTGGCTTTATTTTGTGCTCTGATCGGCGGGTTAAATTGCACATCCATCCGTCCGAGTCTTAGGCACAGTCACAGGTATTACACCAAGAGAAACCAATATTGCATTTAACTTCACCAAGGAAAGGAGGTTGCCAAATCTTCCTTTTAAGTGATGAGGTTTTCTTCTTAATGTCATCCTGAAAATGCACGAAAGACCATTCTTTAGTATTATCCAAAGCTTTTTGTATTAAGATATTGGGAGGTACATGGAATCCTTCAAAGAGCAAGCAATTTGTGATTTTCCACAAATGCCACAAAATCCAAGCAAATGCTGAATTAAGTTCTTCATATTTTTTTCCATATTCTTTAAGCTAAATAGATGATACTTATTTTCAAATTTTGAGTTACCAAATTCCAAAAAAGCGATGAACTGTTAGAAATTAAAGGGCCCAAACTTGTCTTGCATAAGGACAAAGGAACAAGCTGTGATTAATACATTCAATCTTTGCATCACAAAACATACATCCATCAAACACTCAAGATTTCTCTTGTTCTTAATCTGTATGTAAACTGCAAGAGCCCCTTTATGAGCTTTCCAAAGAAAGATTCTAATTTTAGGAGCAGTTTCAACATTCCAATGATATGGTTTAATATTTTATGTTTTGGTATTTTTTTCTAGCATTAAGGCAATTAAGTAATTTCGTTTTTATAGTAAAATACGGTGTTGGTGTTTTCCTTTTTAAAGAGTTTGTAAGGATCTTATATAAAGACCTCTTTGGATTAATAAGAATTCAACTTCCAACAATTAACCTAATTCTCTAAGAGATACTTGGGTTAAAAGGAAGCTTTGCTTTAATTAATCTCCTGGTACTTTCAAGCCATAACTACGAGTCCTATAACTAGATCTATGTTGATATGAGCCAACGCCTTAGAAGTGAGAACAACCTGAGCTTGAATAGCTGAAGGATTGGACAATGGTCTAGAATATCGAACAATTCTCTAGCTCTCATCTTGATCTAGGATGTCGTAAATCTCATTCAATTCAGGTCTCTGGTTTCTATTCCTTTGAATCTAAACAACTTGGGCAGAGAAATATGCGTCCCCATTTGCTGGATTTTCATTGTTATAATAATAATAATCTTATTCCTCTTATTAAAACTTCTCGATATTCATTAGCAAACTATATTTCTTATTCCTATCTATCTCAGCCTTTGGTGCTTTTATTAATATCATCACTAAAACAAAATTACCACAAAAGTATTCGGAAAGTATACAAGGTATGGTTAATGCTATGGGAAAGGAGATTGGTGCCTTTGTAAGGACAGAGACTTGGAATATATGTGACTTACCTCCTGATAAGTTTGTCATGGGTTGCAAATGGGTATTCACAATCAAATATCATGCTGATGGAAGTATTGAGCGACATAAAGCACGCTTGGTGGCAAAGGGATATACTCAACAAGAATGAATAGATTTCATAGATACCTTTTCACTTGTAGCAAAGATGGCAACAATGAAACTTTTTCTTTCCCTCGCACCTAAAATGCAGTGGTCCTTACATCATCGGACATATCCTATGCATTTTTAAATGGTGGCCTCGATGAGGAAATTTACATGAAATTTCCACCAGGTTATGCTGAGCTCCAAGGAGAAGATGTGTCTCCAAATGTTGTTTGCCATTTACATAAGTCGATTTATGGTCTCAAACATGCATCCAATATAATGGTTCATCAAGTTTTCTACAATATTGATGGGTTTTGGTTTTGAAAATTTCATGGTGATCACACATTGTTGTGAAGAAATTTGGAGAAACATTCTTGGTATTTTTGGTGTATGCGGATGATATATTGATTGCTAGCAATGATGATGATGCAGATTATGATTTGAAGAATCAATTGAGTTCTTCATTTCAGCTACGAGATCTTGGTCCTCCTAAGTTTTTCCTTGGCATTGAGATTGCCATGAACAATGAAGGAATTACTCTTAGTCAGAAGAAATATGTTCTTGACTTGCTAGAGTCTACTAGTTTTCTGATTGCAAACCTTCATCCATTCCCATGGAGCCGAATCATAAGCTTTCTTGTGATGGTAGTGATCTTATTGAAGATACTAAGCAATGCCACAAGCTAGTGGGGAAGTTACATTATTTGACAACACAAGACCCGATATTACCTTTGTTGTTTCTAAGATTGCTTAGTATTCTACTGCTCCAAAAGACATTCATCTCAAGGCTGTTCATAAGGTTTTACGATACTTGAAAGGCTTTATTGGTCAAGGTTTGTTATATGGAAGTGATGCTAATTTTGATCTTCGTGGTTTCTCTTATTAGGACATAATGTCCCACATCGGAAGTTGTAAGGGATCCTAAGTAATATATAAGGGATATGGGCCACTCCACTCATTGCCAATTGGTTTTGAGTTGGAAGCCCATATTCTAATATCTCTAACTCTGACTTGGGTGCTTGTCTTGATTCACAAAGATCTGAGACTTTGTTTTGCTGTATTCATTGGTCAGTCTCTAGTCACTTGGAAATCGAAGAAACAATAGATTGTCTCCATGAGTTATGTAGAGGCTAAGTACAAGGCAATGAGTGCGATAACCATAGAGTTGATTTGGCTTAGCTACCTTCTTACAACTCTCAGAGTTCCTTTCAATCCACCAAAATATCTCTACTGTGATAATATGGCTGCTCTACAAAATCGTTTTGAAGCGGTAATAATATAATTTCTCGGGTTTTTGCCCTAATGTTTACTCTCTTACTCTGCTATAGGGTCGTTCCATTTTATAAGATATTCATAAACCTAATTCCTTTAGAAATAGAGGTGGCATGCATTAGTGAATCTCTTTCCGTTAAAAAATCACATTGGAGTCGGTCACCTCTTGTTCTCTTTTTTTTTTTCGATGTCGAACCATTTTAGTATATTCCATTTCTCTTAGAATTAAGAATAGGTGTCATTGATCTAAATCTCATTTTTCAAATTTCCATTTCTCTTAGAATTAAGTGAGTGCATTATCTCTCACTTAATTCTAAGAGAAAAAAAAAAAAAAAAAAAAAAAAAAAAAAAAAAGTGAGTGCATTATCTTTAGAAAGACAGTTTATTGTGGTCTTTGGTAGAAGCTTCCCAAAATCTTCGAAGATGAAATGTTCACGTTAAAACTTAAATGTATTCAAGTGGTAACCAGTTATCCTAAAAGGAACCGAGCGTGCCACTTATGTTACAAGTGAATTAAGGAGATATCCAATTGTCGAATTTATTTT